ACCAAAAATGTATTACTTGCACTGAATAAAAGATCACTATGTAATAACTCATTGCTCAATTAGAGTTCAGATAAAAACACAGATTATAGGATAATTATCATTTTTTTCCCTTGAGCAGGTTTCCTGCATTGTAATAATTAATATTTCTTACGTCCTGGTCGTGCCACAAAACTTACACAGCGCTCATTCGAAAAGCAGAGCCCTTATATTTTTGTTTGTTTGTTTCAAATAAGCATCAAGCCCAACAAGCATGAAAGAAGCCAGCCACAAAAGACTTTTCATATATTACATGTTTATTATTAGCCTACACTTTTTAGAGCTATACAAGCCACTATGACGCTATTGGTCTCCACTGCTGAATAAAGATTTTTATCTCTCTCCCACTATAAAACTGCTCCTTTTATTACCAAAGACATTACTTTTTCAGGGTCACCAAGTGGAATCAGCTACTTGTGGATCTGGGATGTCCTCAAGATACAAGTAAACCGTTTAACTTGTGAAAAATCTTCAAGAGGCATCCTGACAAGAAAGGCTAAAACAAAAGAGTCTCCACCTAAATAAATACATTTAAATACAGATTAGCCAATGACAATACCTTCAGGGCCCCTTCCAACAGGTCCATATTTTTGTTCATCAGCAATGTGTGATAGAACTTCTGGAAACAGGTATTTTGGTGTCCTCTGACAATATAACCAAGTGCTCATATACTATAATGTAGCTGCGCAGAATAAAAGCTGCAGTATAAACATGAGGCTGGCAACAGACCATGGCCACAAGTGCAGTCAAGACTAGGGGACTGAATCAGAAAAATGATTGTGTCACTTGGGAAACTTACTACCTATTTAATCAAGGCATTCCATTGCAGGAAGCCAACAGAGTTACCACATCTAGAAAGTTTTACACCATAAAGAAAAAAAAGGTCTGTGCAAGTTACACTGTGCCATTTTGATTACCCTTTTATTGACATGGAAGTCACTGTCCAAAATCTGCAGAAACACAGCACTACTGAATTAGAAACTTGACAAACTCACAGCACAGTCAAAAGTGTGAATTCAAGTCTGGTTAGCTCAGTAGAAAAACAAGTACAGGGAAATCACAGCAGGCTCTGGATACTCTTTACCTTGTTACTTATAGACACTGGGCTAAATCCTTCTCCCTTAAATCACACAAGTAGTTAATTTACTTGAAGTAGGATCACTTGCCTGAGTAAACCAAATAGCATTCAATGAAAGGAGATAAAAGCTAAAGGAAGCTAGAACATCTAGAAACATTATTTTGATAAATAAAACTGACTTTAAGAATAGCTGATACAATTATACAACCATGAGAACAATATTTTAATAAGCAGAACTGGTTAGCAGCACAACTAAGCTAGGGGGAGAGGTAGATACGCTGGAGGGCAGGGTTAGGGTCCAGAGTGACCTGGACAGATTAGAGGATTGGGCCAAAAGAAATCTGATGAGGTTCAACAAGGACAAGTGTAGAGTCCTGCACTTGGGACGGAAGAATCTCAAGCATTGTTACAGGCTGGGGGCCGAATGGCTAAATAACAATTCTGCAGAAAAGGACTTGGTGATTACAGTGGATGAGAAGCTGGATACGAGTCAACAGTGTGGCCTGGTAGCCAAGAAGGCTAATAGCATATTAGAGTGCATTAGGAGGAGCATTGCCAGCAGATCCAGAGAAGTGATTATTCCCCTTTATTTGGCTCAGGAGAGGCCACATCTGAAGTATTGTGTCCAGTTCTGGGCCCCCTAGAAAGGAAGGTGACCAAAATGATTAGGGAGCTGGAGCTCATGACTTGTGAGGAGAGACTGAGGGATTTGGATTTGTTTAGTCTGCAGAAGAGAAGAGTGAGGGGGGAATTGATAGCAGCCTTCAACTTCCTGAAGGGTGTTTCCAAAGAGGATGGAGAAAGCATGTTCACAGTAGTGACTGATGGCAGAACAAGGAGCAATGGTCTCAAGTTACAGTGGGAGAAGTCAAGGTTGGCTATTAGGAAAAACTATTTCACTAAGAGGATGGTGAAGCACTGGAATGGGTTACCTAGGGAGGTAGTGGCATCTCCATCCCTAGAGGTTTCTAAGTCTTGGCTTGACAAAGCCCCGGCCGGGTTGATTTAGATGAGGTTGGTCCTGCCTTAGGCAGGGGGCTGGATTTGATGACCTCCTGAGGTCTCTTCCAGCTCTATCGATTCTGTGATTCTATGATCTTTAACCTGTTGGTGCCCAGAACTATTTTAAGACAAAAAGCCCCAGATTATTTGGCTCTGAAGTTGCACAAATGACCAAAACTATACAAAATAGTTGGGAATAATCTGAAACTAATGAAAAACCCACCAAAACTGAGTGTTTACTGACCATTCCAGAGAAAGGCATGCAAGGGATTAGCGCTCCCCCAGATCCCAAAGCACATAAAACCAGAAATGTGGTGTGATTCATAGTCTGTCATGTACAATGGGGAATCACTGCAAGTGTGCCTTTGAAATAAAACAGGGAGCACTGCATTGCAGCAGCTGGCAAACGCGTCTCCCACCCTTCCTCTTCCCATACAGAAAGTGAGGCACAAATAGGAACCCTCTAGGGATAAGCAGAACTGGTCAAACTTGGAATTTCTGTTTCATTGCATAATGTGGTATAATGGAAAAAATAATTCTGTTGGAAAGTTTTTTACCTCGTCTAGTGAGAGGTTCCTTATCAAAGCCCAGTACAACACAGGTAGCACTCTGGCTACAAAGCAATAGTCAAACCAAGTGAAAACATAGTTTAATTATTGCTGCATGTTGATAAGACAGCTGGGGACAGGGAGTCTCATATTGAGAAGGTGCCATCAGAACTTGGCCCCAGAGATCAGGATGTCCATGTCCCTAGAAGTCCTCAGAGCGTAAACTAGAAAAACTATCACAACTCACTCTTCTGTCCTCTCACCCTCCTCTCAAATAAAGATGCCCAAATCTCTCCTAAAGAGAGGGAGGAACCTGCTTCTATAATACAAAAACTCAGCCAAGAGAAAGGACCACCTCTCTTAGTTGAATATTTCAATGGTTGTGGTCAGCCGAAGTGCTTAAAATTCTCTTGATAGACAGCAAAAATGCTGCTAGCAGGCTGATCTCAACAAAAGCCACTTGGTTTGGAACTCACTCCTCATTGCTTTCGGAGTCCATCTGTTTCTTCAAGACTTTGGGGAAAGCTGTGTTTGGGGTTTATCATTCAAGTGCCTCTGGCCACTCTCAACAAGTCAAGCTCACTAGGTGCTCCTGATGCAAGCTATGTCACTTTACAGGGATAGCAGAGTGCTCTGAGCTTTTTCAGACAGAAATCTTGCATGTACATTTTATATGTTGAAGAAATAAGTCCTGCTATAATTGCAAAGGTCCAACTGGCATTCAACAGTAATACAGATGCTAAGTTCACCCAACTCCATTTCTATCATGAACCATATTCAGTCCTTGGCTAAATAAGTACAATACTGTACTTCTTGAAAATAGCCCACTGTGTAAATTCATCCTTCCCACTGTAGCCTTTCCTTCCCACTCCAGTGTTTATTAGGAGGACATGAGAAATTACAGGTGATGGTGCAAAGAAAGTCAGCAATCTCATATGGCTGACTTTCCAACTTATTTCTAAGGTTGAAATTCACTCAGCTTAGAAATAAGTTATTTGGTTTTATTTAACAGGGCATTACACTTACTGCTTCATTATTTCAAATTCCCTTTGAACATCTTACATTATCAGTTATGATATTCTAACTTCCTATTTAACTATTTTATCTTCCTTTTAAATACAGGCAGTCCCCGACTTACGTCGGATCCCTAGATACGAACGGGGTGAGGCAACTCCCGCACATGCGCAGCAGCATTCCCGGGGCTCGCTCACCTGGGTCCTAGGATCCTCCTTCTCCTCGGGCCGGCTCCGACTGGGGTCCCGCAGAGCTGCCGGGCAGAGGAAAAGTGCCTCCCCATGCCTGCTGCCCCCTCCCCTGAGCAACAGGCTGCCGAACAGACAAAAGCAGCCTCTCTGCCCCTCCTCCCCTCTATACATGCCGGGCTCCCGGAGCGCAGCAGCGTCCCCGGGGCTCGCTCACCTGGGTCCTAGAATCCACCACCTCCTCCTCTTCGGCCGGCTCCAACTGGCCTCTGCCTGCAGCAGCTGGCCACAGGGACCGGGATCCCGC